GGTTACGGTTAAGTTACGTCAACATCTTATATTAATTTTTTATAGAAAGAGAAAGACAAAATAGAGAATGTGAAATGAGGGGATGGCATGGGGGAGATAATCCTAGTCCAAACTTTTTAGCTTTATCATCACAGTGAAAATCTCACATGAAGTTTTGAATCATGAGATGGGAGTAATTAGGGTTTGGATTTGGTAAATGACAAGAGGAGAAGTTAACGTTAATTAAAAAAGTGTAATTAATTAATTAATCAGATAATTGGTAATGATTAATAATGGCATTATTCATTTTGCATGAAATATTAACCTAGACGATATCTATGACTTTGACTGCCAAAGTGGTGCTCTCATTGTTAAACTAATTAAGTTCGAAAGCTCAACTTCGATCTGATAAAACTTGTTTGATTTGATCCATATCTTCTACTTTTTTGACCCAAAAAGTGCTTTTTGATTGTAATCAAGCTCTCCACACACAGTACTACTACTACTACTAGATATATAGCACACACTGCAATAGTAATTCATATCACTGAATTTGCTTGCTACTGAACATATAAATAAATCTCTACACTTTGTCTATCAGAATTAGCTGACATATATATATAACTACATTAGTTGAATACGTATTTACCCAGAAAAGAAAACATTAGTTGAATATGCTTTCCAGATATATGCTTTTAAATGAAGGTAGCTAGCTCTCTTGAGCAAGTTTCCTTTGGCTCCTTTTAATGCAATAAAAACTGGGAAATCACCCTTCAATCTTCCTTTTATCATCCATTTACATGCTATTCTTGAGATGCACGCCTAGTGCTGGACTCGACTCTATACACACACATATATATGTGTGTGTGTATATGCTTTTTGGTAAATATTCAAGAGCTTCTTCTACTCCAGCATAATTTTTTTTTTTTTCTGATTTGATATCAAACTGATTTGCAATAATCTTTTGGCATGTAGTGGCCTGTACCATTTTCATGGTTTACCAGCAGACTATTTTGTCTGCTACTAATTAAATGAAGTATATATCAAATAAGGTACAAAAAAAGGCAGGAAAAAGTTTCAGATATGCAGTTCAATTGCTTTCAACCTTGAGTCATTTAATTACGAAAAATAAAGCAAGTACTGCACTAGTCTATAGAACAAGAAAAAGATGATGATTTTAAAAGTAAAGAATGGTAAAAAGGTGATACCTAAACCAGTTTAAAAAGTCACTTATTAGTAAAAGTATTATCCGGGTAAGTAAATTGTGTTTGCATGCAGTGCAGGACGTGTTTTGGTCTACGAAATAACTAGGGTTTGTGCTGTGAACTCGTTTCTGGTTTTATTAGAACTGTAGGAATCTGATTAACTTGCTTTATTTGATAAAATTTGAAAGCTGATAAGTGTGGTTGGAAATGATCAGATGAGATTAAGCAAAAGGTAATATTGCAGTTTGCAGTTGCAGAGAGAGGGAGAGAAGCAATAATGCAATGTAGGATAGGAGACAGAGGGTTGCTTTTTGGGTACTTGGGGAATAAAATGTTGTCTCTCTACGAGGATTGGCGTGGAGAGACTCTCTCTCTCTCTCTCTCTCTCTCTCTCTCTCTCTCTCTCTCTCTCTCTCTCTCTCTCTCTCTCTCTCTCTCTCTCTCTCTCTCTTTGAACAAGAAGCCAATACTTGTACATATCTGTCATGCATGTAAAGAACAAAGGGGTTTTTGAACTTTAATCTTCGAAGAAGATCAAAATTTAATAAAAATTTGATGTTAGATTACATATTCATTTTAGTCCTTTAAAGCGTACTTAATTCAAATTTATATTATATTTTTATTTTAATATTTAATAGATGTCTAATTTAGTGTCTTCATATTAGATTTTAAATTTATTATTATGCACATTTTAATTTTTTTTAATTTTGTTTAACTTCCTCTAATTAATGTATCTAAACGTCTGTACCATAATTTGTTTTACTAAACTAGTGTACTGAAATATCTGTACCTGAATATATTGTAATGAATTTGTGGCACATAAGAAAATATGCAAAAACATAAGTGTACCAAAAAGTCCATTTGTGGCACGTACCTAAACATATTACACTAAACTAGTGTACTGAAATGTCTGTACCTAAATATTTTGCAATGAATTAGCGATATATAAGAAAATATGCAAAAATGTAAGTGTACAGCAAAGTCTACCAAAATATTTTCCTTATTATATAAGACACTTACGATAAATTGGTGATTGAAAATGTCAACAAATAAAACTAATTGATTTGAATTTCAAATTGTCACATCCCGGCCCGGGACGGATCACTTCCCGGGCCCGCTCCCCACCGTAGTACGATATTGTCCTCTTTGGGCTTACCATTCCCTCACGGTTTTGTTTTTGGGAACTCACGAGCAACTTCCCATTGGGTCACCCATCATGGGATTGCTCTAGCCCCTTTCTCGCTTAACTTCGGAGTTCCTACGGAACCCGAAGCTAGTGAGCTCCCAAAAGGCCTCGTGCTAGGTAGGGATGGGAATATACATTTAAGGATCACTCCCCTAGGCAATGTGGGATGTCACAATCCACCCCCCTTAGGGGCCCGATGTCCTCGTCGGCACACCACAGCCAGGGTTAGGCTCTGATACCAAACTGACACACCCCGACCGAGATCAGGGCATGCTGGCCTTCACTTCCTTGTGACGACCAGCATGCCCTGATCTCGGTGTGTCACAAATGATATTAAAATTTACAATATTTTACATGAAAATGTAATTCTGGACACCATAAAAGTATTAAAAAAAAAAAAAAAGATATTGAATGTATATGCTGGCATTAAATACAATTTAGGGACTAAAATCAATTTTTAATCTTGTACAAGACATTTTTCTAAACTTTGTCTTATTTAAGGATTAAAATTTAGTTTTCTAAAGAACAAATGATAAACATGAAAAAGGAAAATATGGAAAAATAAATAAATGAAAAATATAGGAGTTTTTGTGTGCATAGAGTGGTGAAGGACTTACATAATAAGGAGATATTGTCACGATAGTATTTTGTGTTGATAAAATAAAGATATGTATAAATATTTATTCACGTGCATATCTCTATATTATTAGCAGATAACGTTATATAGCAGTATAAGATGAACTTATTATCTTTCATCACAATAACTGTACCCTCTCTCTCTGCTGGCTTCTTTCCACCTTTCCCCTTTACCACTGTATTTGAATTTCTGCTGGCTTTGTTTGTCCATTCAAAGGCTGATGTGTAAAAAGAAGGGAAGCTCTCTCTCACTTGTGCCATGATAAAATTTTTTGAAATTACGGGTCCCATTGCAATGGATCCTTTTCATGAAATCCTATTTGCATAGAAACGAAACCAATCTCACGACATATTCTCACCGCTCTCACGTGATGATAATGTTACCACTCTATTAATATATCATCATTGAATAAGTTTAAATTCTAAGATTTGTGGTTATCTACTATACAGATCTCATTATTTAAATTTATTTAAAAGTGAATATAGAGTGGTAAGCATCACCATCACTTGAGAGTGATGAGCAAAAATATTTCCCAACTGAAAGGACTTCGTGCTATTTTCTTTTACATGTAAAAGGGCTTCAGAGGGTTACTATATTGTATAAATCATAAGCTTTTTTATTCTTTTGTTGTTGAAAATATATAAATAAAACATATGCAGTCATAATAGTACAATTATCAATATAAAACAAACAAACAAAAGAAACAGGAAAAATAAAATAGTTAGAGTAGATAGATTGGAAATCCCCTCCTCTTGCAGGAAATATAAAGATGGTGCTTATTACTTAAATGTTAATTAATGTGCCTATTTAGTTTACTAGCAAGAAGTATAAAAAATGTGGCCTAGCCTATCTTGGTTTTCTCTGACTACTTCCTACTAGTGAGAGGGGAGTAAATTTACTTAAGATGATACCTAGACAAAATTTTGTAAACTAAATGACATGAAAGTTGATGATTGGATTATTACTAAAGTGTTGATTAACATGCTTATTTTTTATTGATAACACCTCATTTATTTTGCAAATTTTGTCTACAAAGGTCATCTACCTAGTAGTACTATCAGGTGAATCATGCCATTAAAATGGGTAATTTTAGACAAATCATCTATTTAAATTATATTTTATAAATCATATAACATGGTTATTAATGATTAAATTATGACATAAATGTTATATTTAAATTATTACATACCCACCCCTCTCTCTTAGTGTAAATAGTTTCTCTTAGTGTAAATAGTTTCTCTTAGTATAAATAATATCGTTTGTTAGAAAAAAAGTATTACATTAATCTTGTTTAATGTACCACTTAGTACTACAGAGTAGTGATATTTCTCTTCACTTATAAGTGAGAGGTCTTAAGTTCGATTTGCCAAAGGCGAATTTGAAATTATTGTTAGCCCATGTGAAGCTAAGCCCACCCCTTTCCCTTAGTGTAAATAATATTATTTGTGCAAAAAAAAAAATTATTACATAAATGTTAATTAATATGCTTACTTTTATTGGTGACATATCCCATAATTTACAAATTTAGTTTAAAAAATTAATTTACCTAACATTATCCTTGAAACTTATACATTGATATATGCAAGTTCCCAACAGTTGCAGAATGATTATAAAAATTTACCCTCTTATACTAATTTTCTCCCAAAATAAAAATCTTAATTAATGAAATAGCGCAAAGATTAGTGTTATATTTACCATCATTCGTATCATTTCTCTAATAGAGATAAAGCTCACTAACACAATGGATCTCATCTCTATTAGAGAGATTGTATAAATGATCCTACATGTAAATAGTAAAAATAGGATTTTTGTAGTGAAAATAAAAAGCTAACAAAAGCCGAGTAATCACAGAAAAAGTAAAAGAAAAAAAGAGTAATGAATAAATAATTAAAAACTCAATAGCAGGAAGTATAAAGAAGGTGGCCTAGCCTAGCTTGGTTTTCTCTAACTGAAACTCAACTCAAAACTCCCCCCTCTCTCAGCTGATCATAGCTACTCTCTCTAACTCTCTCTCTCTCTCTCTCTCTCTCCCCTTGCACTTGAGGTGGTGGTGTTCAAGCCTTCCAAAGCTCCAAGCTTTTTTTCTAAGTTCTATTCTTTCTTCTCAGGTTAATATTTGGGTGGGGGGGTTAGAGGGGGATAAGAAATATAAGTAAAAAAAAAAAAAAGAAGTGATTATTTGTGGTTGTGAAGAAATTGCTTGTGGAAAAACAAAGGGTGGGTGTGGGGGGTGGGTTTTGATCAAGTGATGCGCTCAGGAGGTTGTGCAGTTCAGCAGACCCTCACAGCGGAGGCTGCTTCGGTGTTGAAGCACTCTCTCAGCCTAGCAAGGCGGAGAGGCCATGCTCAGGTCACTCCTCTCCACGTGGCCGCCACTCTTCTCAGCTCAAGAACTAGCCTCTTGCGGCGGGCCTGTCTCAAATCTCAGCCGCACCAAACCTCTCATCCTCTCCAATGTCGAGCTCTCGAGCTCTGCTTCAATGTGGCTCTCAACCGCCTCCCAACAACTCCCGGCCCTCTCCTCCACGGGCAGCCCTCTCTCTCCAACGCCCTCATCGCCGCCCTCAAGAGAGCCCAAGCCCATCAGAGAAGAGGCTGCATCGAGCAGCAGCAGCAGCAGCCGCTCTTAACCATCAAAGTCGAGCTCGAGCAGCTCATCATCTCCATCCTTGACGACCCGAGTGTCAGCAGAGTCATGAGAGAGGCAGGTTTCTCCAGTACCAACGTCAAGAACAACTTGGAGGACTCCTCAACGTCCTCCGTTTTCCAGTGTTATAGCAGCTCCGGCGGCGTTTTCTCCTCTCCTTGCTCTCCTTCTCCTCCCTCGGACCGTCACCACCAAAACAATATCATTCCTGGGAGTTTCTGGCAACCCCATTTCCTGGCTTACACTTGTGAGCAAAACCCACTTCTTTTTTCCCCTCAAAAGACAAAACCTCCATTGATGATCAGTAACCCCACCACCACCACTGAATACTCTGGTAGTTCTCCAAAGGAAGAAGATGTTAAGTTGGTGTTGGAGGTGCTGATGAGGAAGAAGAGGAGGAACACTGTGATAGTTGGTGATTCAGCTTCCATGACTGAAGGGCTTGTCTCTGAAGTTATGGGGAGGATAGAGAGAGGTGGAGTTGGAGTTCCTGAGGAGCTGAAATCAACCCAGTTCATCAAGTTTCAGCTCTCACCAGTGGCTGTGAGGTTCATGAAAAAGGAATATGTGGAAGCAAATCTCTCAGAGCTCAGAAGAAAAGTGGACTCATCATTTGTTGGAGGAGGAGGAGGTGCTGTTATTTATACCGGAGATCTGAAGTGGGCTGTTACTGATGAGCAGAGAGATCAACACCAAAACTCTGGTGGGTATTATAGCCCAGTTGAGCATTTGGTTTCAGAGATTGCAAGTTTGGTCTCTTCAGATAACTCAAGGGGGAAGGTGTGGGTGATGGGAACTGCAAGTTACCAGACATACATGAGGTGCCAAATGAGGCAGCCACCTCTTGAAATTCAATGGTGTCTTCAAGCTGTTTCTGTTCCTTCTGGTGGTCTTGGTCTCTCCCTTCATGCTTCCAGGTTAGTTTTTTATTTTTCTCTCTTTTTACTTTATTTTATTGTTATTATTATTATTATTATTATTATTATTATTATTATTATTATTATTATTCATGTTCACTGTTATTTTATATGTGTGTTTGTGTGTGTGTGTGTGTGTGTGTGTGTGTGTGTATGTATAAGTACTCCATGGATGATGGTGATTCCTTGAAGCTTTGGTGTAATGTTTTGTACTATGGTGTTGCTTTAATGTTTACAAGGTCTGCATGAAACCAGAAACACTGGAAAAGTGAGAGACAGATACAGGAACCACTGTCCTTTCCTTTGCTCTTTGTTTTGTCAGGATATGTAGCCACGGATCAAAATTACATGTTTCACTGCTAGATATTTAGGATGGAAGGAAAAAAAAGAGTTCACGAGGTCATTTTGTCTTCCTACATTTATGCACCCAAATTTCTTTTCCAGAAATGCAATCCATATATATTACAAAAGAATAAACATAAAGAAATTCATTTTGCTTATTTTGGTTATCCGCATAATGAGAAATCTAATTTGGGGTTAGAAATGAAACCTAAGCCTGCTAATTATTTAAATTAGTTTATAGAGACGGTTTAACCAATTTAATGAAAACGCCAACAACCCTTGAGATTTTAGATGATCATAATAAGATAAAGCTAATATAAATGTGTGGGTGTGTGTGTGTGTGTATTTACATATAGTTGGCTTATCTTAATTAATCAAATATTTTATATGATAAATGAGGTTAGTATTAACGTTTATATGTTGTGCTTGTGTGTTTATCAGCGTCCAAGACTCGAGAATAATCTTGTCTCAGAAACCATCTGAAGTTCTGGAAACAAAACCAGTATTCAATAGCAAGGATGAGCAACATTATTATGATAATAACACGCTCACTTGCTGTCAAGAATGCACTTCAAATTATGAAAAAGAATCTCAGCTCTTGAAATCTGGCCAGCAGAAATTGCCTGCCTGGCTGCAACCACATGGAACCGAAGCCCGTCAAAAGGTACTAACCATTCCACCTTCTTTAAATTAACTTTTTGATACCACAATTTTAGGAGAATAAGTTACGTTGCAAAGGTAACGGTATTCTAAACTAATCACACAATGCTAGCACACCGTGCTTGATTTGGGATACTGGGCACATTAGCTATAGTTGTAATTAAATCGGCAAAATTGATTTACTATGTTTCTTATTTTAATGTGTTAATAAAAAATTTCAGGATGAAGTAACTGAATTGAGGAGAAAGTGGAACAGGTTATGCTACAGTCTGCACCAAGGAAGGCATGCAGCTCAGAACAATTTGAGCTCTTCTAATTTGTACAACAATCAAAGCTTAATTGGAACCAACTCCTCTTATGTTTCAACATACCCTTGGTGGTCTACCAAGAATGGCATCTCTCCCGATCCGGATTCAATCTCCTTCTGTCATGATCCACCTTCGGAGCCTGCTCACGGCTCTAGTCTCGTGCCTCAGTTTAGGAGACAACAATCGTGCACGATCGAGTTCAACTTTGACAATGGGATCCAAAAGAATCAAGTGGTGGAACCGAGTTTGGATTCTCTGAAAAGCACTGAAGGCAAGGAAGTGAAGATCACTCTTGCTCTTGGCAACTCTGTGTTTTCAGGTTCGGAGAAAATGGTGGAGAGAAAATGCACTGAAAGAACAATAGCTGAAATGTGCAAGCTACTGAAAGAGAATGTTCCTTGGCAATCCGAATCCATTCCTTCGATAGTAGATGCAATTATCGACTCTAAAACTGCCAGGCAGGAGACTTGGTTGCTGATTCAGGGGAATGATTCGACTGGAAAAAGAAGGCTGGCACATGCAATTGCTGAATTGGTTCTGGGATCTGCTGATTCACTCCTCCATATCGACATGAACAAAAGAGAAAATGAGATGAACCCGAGAACAGAAGTTGTAGCAAGAGCCTTGAAATCCAATGAGAAACTTGTTGTCTTGGTAGAAGATGTTGATTTGGCTGATACCCAGTTCTTGAAATTTTTAGCTGATGGTTTTGAAAACCGAAATTTCGGAGAAGTGAGTAGAAGAGAAAGGATTCAAAGCCAAGCCATATTCATCTTGACTAAGAGTGACTCAACAGTATATGAAGATCAGGCCAAGTACCTGGATACTGTAATCCAAATGACATTGAAGACATTGAAGGTTGATGAGAAAAGTAGTACTAGTCCACTTTTTCAGGGAGTTAACTTCGATCACAAGCGAAAGGCTGAGTGGGAGCTAGAACTCAAGACCAAGAGTCCCAGAACTGAAGAGAAGGAAGATCCAAGTGTGGTTGCTGTTGAGAATGTGAATAACAAGAAGGTCTTCTCAAGGCAATCAAGCTTCAACACCCTTGATCTCAACCTCAAAGCTGGGGAGGACGAAGAAAACGAAGACAAGGCTGGGGAGTTTAGCCCCATTTCAAGTGACTTGACTCGCGAAACCAACACCGATCTCCAAACCCCACATGGGTTTCTTGAATCGATGGAGAACCTCTTTGTTTTCAATCGAAGTCCGGCCAGAGAACGAGAGGCAACCGAGCTTTTCTTGTCCAAGATGGAAAGGTGTTTCGGGGAGGTATACGGGAAACAAAATGTGGTTAGTTTTAGTGTGGATAAGAGGGTGTTAGAGGGGGTTTGTATTGGGTCTGGATATTTTCCCAATAGCTTGTTTGAGAAATGGCTGAAAGACATTTTTCAGACAAGCTTGAGGGCGGTTAAACTTAAACTTAGCGGGAAAGAGGGTATACTTGTAAGGCTCTGTTTGGGTGACAAAGAAGATGGCATTTTGGAGGGTTTCTTGGGTTCTTGTCTTCCTAAGAAAATCCATATTTCTTGAGCGAGTGGTTATATGGAAAACTTCCCAAATGTGTGCTTCTGTAACAACTCCTAATTTTCTAAATACCATGTGTTTTATTTTTCCTGTAGTTCCACACTCTTTTCTCTATCTTTTTTCTCCAAGTAATGCTAGAGAGACTAAATTTGTAGACAAAATTTACAAATTAAATAACGTGTCCTCAATAAAAATGAACACGTTTATCAACGCTTAAGTAATAATCTAATCATCAACTTTCATGTCATTTAGTTTTCCAAATTTAGTCTCACATTGCCCTTTTCCTCCCACCTTCAATTGCAAACCAAATAATTTTGTTTTCCCCAAATTAATTAGCACAAGGTTCATAACCCTAGACTAATTTCCAAAGAATTCAAAGTTGCTATGGAGGACATCCAAAAACATAGCTTCTTGTGCCAGCAAGTAGGGAGACATTTTTTTTACCACATTTGTGTACCACGATTTATTGAGATGTTATTAGGCCTTAACACAGTTCAGTCTGATCGGTTTCTTGGCCAAAACCGCCACCGGACCGTCTAAGACAGCAAGCCAAAGTCAAGCACCAAGACTAACCATGGTCAATGTGCCATGAAATTAGTTTGGTCGATCCGATTTGCCTGCGACGACAATTAGAGGCTTGCTTCGTTAGATGTTTTTCAAAATAAAGAGGGACTCGAAGGGCACATCAAATGTTTTGTTTTTATTTTAGGAAAGTGTTATTGACACTTCAAATATTTTTCTTTTCAAATATAGAAAGTTTGGAGTGTAGAATAAGATTTTTGAAGTGCCATTAACAATTTCCTTATTTTAAAATGGTGGAGAATAGTTTTAAGTTTCTCAAAACAAAGAAGTATTCGAAAAGCCGAAGGCTAGAGTGATAGAGGAGCTTATTAACGCAACGTGACAAAAAAAAAAAGCCAACTAGTACAAATGATCAGTTTTTGAAAATTGGTAACATAAATGATCAATTTTTAGTAACGATGATATATTGATGGCTCAACAATGAAATAACAATCATATAACGATGATATAACATTAATATTCCTACAACTATATGTCAAAAAATGATCATTCCTGCTAATTGCCTCGAATTAAAAAAATAAAAAATAAAATAATAAAAAATAAAAAAATTGAAATCAAACAATAACCTTAAAGAATAACAAAACTAGAATCCACCAAAAAGTAAGAGACGATTATGCTGGCTTAACATTTAGGTTTGCATAACAAAGCTTGCACTGTCTTTTCACAGTTAGGCGCACAACGTGCAATTGGTAATGATTCTACTACAGTATTCGCAAACTGATCCTAAGTAATCGTTAAACAAATAAAAAAATACCAAATGGTTCCTAAAACTTAGGGCCATAAAAAACACTAAATATTTGATGCATGTCTTTCTCTTTCGAAATAGCAGATAATAAACACCAGAGCTCAAATCTTCAAAGCTTTATTCTTATTACTTGAATTGCACCTTTCAACTTGATCAATTTATTTCTCGATCTTATTTACTTTATTTATAGACTAACTAAAGTATAAGGGTAGTGAGAACGAACGAGAAAATAAACTTGGATAGACCAAAGATTCGATCCTTCCAATTTAACCTTCACTCTAACTATATGTATAGGTGTGTGTACATGCTGAGGTGCGTTTGTACGAACCATGCATGTTGAAATGGTCCCGAATCATCAAACTAAATTTAAACCCCATAAACTGAAGTTCCCAACGTACTCTTTCAGCAAGCATGCTTACTCACAAGTCACAGCCACTCTACCACGAACAACCTTTTTAGGCTTTTGAGGGAATTTAGTACTTAAACAAATATTACATATATTGCAAATCTTTCCTTTAAAATTTCCTTTACAAAATATGATTTTTATATATCTAATCTAGCTTAGGCTATCTAATCCGCAGTTCCTCACCATCTTCTAAAAGAGATTTGATTCCTGTGATATTATAAAACCAAATTAATATCTGATTAGCTTACTATGCCTACTTCCCTAATTACAACTTAAATGGAGATTAACCAACGTTACATTTTTATAATGAAAAATTCAAGGGATACCATCTTTTTTGACCATATATGGTAAATAACATGATTTGACAATTCAGGATTGTTTTTAATGATTTAAATAATGAGTCTAACCAGCATCTGTCACATCATCTAAATTACAAAATATGATAAAAAAAAAATATAAAATTGCTAGCATCACCTGTTTATATTATACTCCTATTGACCTTTTGTGCAAGATAACATTATTATGAAAACAACCGTGCATGTTGTTCATCATTACATCGTAATGCTAAATTATTTGTATAATCCTGATGACATATAAACTAATTGTAAAGAATTTATAAGGGAGAAGGAAGGGAAAAGAGTGGCCAAGCAATGATTACTTTTCAAGACAATCAACAAGTTTCAATATTTGATGAGAAAAAAGATTAGGTTAAACTTTTGTATCAAATATTATCAAAGTGGAAGATTTCATAGCCTCGGGAGGTGAGTTCCACTTCCACTTGCCGGTCACCACCAAACTTTTCTTTTGCTATATATCACCTTTTTCTATGTAATGATATTTTTAATATCTTTACTTTTTAAAGTGAGGAAAAATCAATTACCAACTACAGTAGCTAACAGGTTCAAAATTTTGCTCAACTCCTCATATAAGTTTGTTTAGTTAAGGGATGCTCTTTCAAGATTCTTTATGCAAAGTATTTTAATGAGACAACCTCTAGCTTCTAGGCCTTTTATTGAAGGACTATTCTTGCAAAAATTCAATGTAAATTTAACGTTTGCCTAAGGTATAGTATTATTTGCATAATATTTTACAAAGATGATCTTTTAGGTTTTAGACTAATCAAATTATTGACAAACCAAGAGAACCCATCAATACATTAGTCGTTATATGGCATCAGGTTATATGACTTTGGTTCCCTTTGATATGTCTCAAACACCTTCACAAAACCATAATACCCTTACACCCCACACTCTCAACATTCACCTCACATTTTTTATATATACCCCGCATTATCTACATACACCCCCAAACTCTTCACGTTTACCCTTTTACTCGAATTCCTTACCCATTTACCCATCTGAAACAAAAAAAAAAAAAAAAGACTCATACTTTTGTTATGCATTGGAATAATAATCAAATATGAGTTTCTAAGCACTACAGCAGTTTAAGACTGATAAATTATGTGAAATCCTGTCCCCGGATTTTACTATTTACATTTCGTATTTGTAGTTGTCACAACACGTTTTTGTTATTGGCGTAGAAATTTTTTTGATGCAAAAGCACGAAAATGGACGGAAAAAGGAGGAAGAATATTTCGTTACTATTCAAAATATTCTTTAATGCCGTCAAGTTCCTTTAGATTTAACGGAATATTCTGTCTCGTTACAGAATATTCCAGGCAACCCAACCCCGCGCGAGAGGGCGCATGACCAGTGTGTGGCAACCCCGTGACTGATAACCCAAAATGTATTTCTAAATTAATTTGATTGCCCTTAATCTGTTTTTGGCATCCGTTTAGTGTAGTTCTATTGTTTTAACCTAGTTTCGTAGTTGGCCATCGTTTAAACTCACGATTGGCAAAGATCCGACCATCTGATCATCACAAAATTTTAGTATATTGTTGTTGAAGCATAAGGAGACCCTTACAGAGTTACAGATTGGAAATCCGATGTGCGGGTTTTTCCGATTGAACGAAGTTCGGTTGTTGATCCTATCGTTAACATTTGACAAACCCATAATACCCTCACACCCCACACTCTCAACATACACCTCACATTTTTTACATACACCTTACATTTTCTACATACACCCCAAACTTTTCACTTTTACCCTTTTAGTTGAATTCCTTACCCATTTACCCGTCTGAAATGAAAATAAAAAAACTCATACTTTTGTTATGCATTGGAATAATAATCAAATATGAGTTTATGAGCACTATAGCAGTTTAAGGCTAAGAAAGTATGTGAAATCTTGTCCCCATATTTTACTATTTACATTTCGTATTCGTAGTTGAAACAACACATTTTTATTATCGGTGTAGAAAATTTTTCGATGCAAAGGGATGAAAATGCTCTTGTTGGGCTACACAAAGATCTACATGGACGTTTAAGCTCTTTTCGTCTTTTGTCTCCTTTCTTGGCATATTTGGATAATACGTATCGATACAAACATGTGGGTGTAAGTGGAATGGAATTTGGAGTAAGAACAAAGATTTCTACGAAGCTTGGAAGTTGAGGGCATTTTGATAATTTGATCCTTATTTAGACATGTTTTAGCCTTGGTGTGTGTGCCATGTGGAGGCCACTCGCACTTCCTAGATCTCTCATCTTTCTCTTTTTTCTCTCAACCTCACTGGACTCTCTCATCTCTCGAACTTTCTCGCCCTCTCACTTTGCCCAAGTACACACCACCATCACCCAACCATTTTTTCCAGCAAGCTTCGACCAACAAACACCACCATCATGCTCGCCTCGTCCCCAGGAACCCAGTCATGGGTTTTGTTTCGTGAAAAGTTGGACAAAATCTGAGAAAGCATAAGCTTCAAAGAGGATCAAGTTTTCCGTCCAATTTTAGGCCATCTCGAGCCATTTCTCATACTCCAAACAAGTATACACTTGTCCTCCTCCTCTTTAGGTTCATTTTGATATAAGGATCATCGAATTTGGTTGAGATTTGAGCAAGTTATGGTTAGTTGAAGTTTACCCAAAAAATCAACATTTTTCTGTAAGATTCGACGACTTCGGCGGTGCACCAGTGATCGGAGGAACGAAGAAGAAAAAGTATTTGGTTACTATTTAAAATATTCCTTAATGTCGTTAGGTTCGTTTAGATTTAACAGAATATTTCGTCTCGTTACAGAATATTCCAATCAACCCAGCCCCGCAAGTAAGGGCGCATAGCCAGTGTGCGGCTGTGCGTGGCAGCGGCCAGTGACTGATGACCTAAAATGTCTTTCTAAATTAATTTTTTTGCCCTAAATCCATTTTTGGCATCCGTTTAGTGTAATTTTATTGTTTTAACCTAGTTTCGTAGTTGGCCGCCATGTAAACTCGAGATTGGTAGAGACCCGACTATCGGATCA